GCTAAAGAAATAAAGTTTGCCGCTACGAAGTAAAGTTTGACGCTACGAAGTAAAGTTTGCTGCTACGAAATGAAGGTTATCTACGCTRATGCTTGCGTAAAGAACTAGTTTACAATAACAAAGTATAAGTTTTTTTTTATGAGTAGAAAAGAAAAACTATTGGCTTGAGACGTCAACTTAACATTAAATAAAATACCTTTCTTTTTGTCAAGTTTTATATAAATCTGCTTTCAATGAAAATGGATACAGAAGAAAATATGGCATACAAAGAAAAACGGAGGAGTCGTATGCAGCTAATAAACATAGAGACCTTATATACACTTACTTGARCWTCCTTAGTACATGGTTGTAGAGAATATGGAGTAAGGTGTTGATATCCAAGAATATATATCAGTATATGTCATGCATAGTTTATGATGATAAAGTTTCAGGGGAATTATTTGAAATGAGTTTYGATAATTACACAAGATATATTAAAGCGAAAACTATATAACGTCTAAATGACCTTTCTGTTCTGTTGGAGGTCTTCAAAACAAACTTTTTTAATATCAATGAATGGATTTATGCTCAAAGAGCATTTTCATCTAAATCATGCTGGAACAAAAGCTAGGTTTTCAAAACGCATGAGTCGAATTTCGGTAACAAGTTTATAAGTCCTGCTAGAATTAATACTCATCGCAAGCTGTATTCAACTCGTCTAATAGAAGTGGAAACTCTCTAAGAATATCAGTGGTTGAATGTCATTAATTATTAGTAAATGACCATCTCACATTATAGTTTTCCATCAAGGTCGCACTTAAACCAGAATTACAGAGTGCATGCGCCGAATTGATGCTACCAAATAGGTGCTTCATTGTGGTTATGACATTATTTATTAGTAAATATCATTCATCTTACTGGTTAGGTGCCTACATTAATACTACATCGCGAGGTGGGGTGAAGTAACCAATTTCCCCAAAGTCGTGAAATACATTCAAGATTCCTCTGGCAATTGCCGACTGTAGAGCTACTTTGAAAACACTGAACAATAGGAAATGTCCAGTTGAATTCAAAAATCAAATATTTTCGCTCCCCAGCCGTGCTGTATTGTGAATTGTATTAGTTTGTTCTTTTTATGAGATCTCAGTGATGCTAACGACGTCTGGTAATCACTTATTAGCAAAGCACTGACAATATTTTCAGAGGACTTAAACAAGTTGTGTGATATATGGTGTGTACAAGCAAGGTTATACAAGCATATATCTTTTTAGTTATGTTGGATTTCTTGAGTTTTGTTTTTTCTTTTTTTCATTCTTCTATGTATATTGATTTACACTAATTACACGGGCCCTGCGTAGCAGGGGACCGTGTAGAAAAATGCTGTTGCTTTCTTGGTTTTTTTTCATCAATGTCGAAAGTTTGCTCTCGGTACATCTTCGTAGCCAATCAMATTGTGATTTATATATCCGGCAGATATCCGGCATCCAATCAACACATTACGTTGTGCGTTCCGAACGATTCCGAACGCTATAGTGGCCAATCAAATTACGTTGTGTGTTCCGAACGATTCCGAACGCTTTAGCTCGCATTTTCCACTGCAGTATTTCTCCGCCATTTTGACTATTGTTGACTTTTCCGGCGAATATTCCAGAGATCATGAAAGTTTATCACCAAACTCTTGCACTCATTACTCGTCTGGGTGTTAGGATCAAGGGTATTTTGAATTATGATGACGAGGAGATCTCAAATACAGAGATCGACACGCCTACTACTCGTGAGGCAACGACAACGGCCGTGAAAACTACTCGTGAGGCAACGGCAACGCATCGACTGGATTAAGAGCATGACACTGAAATCAAACAAGATTTAAGGTCATATGCAAAAAATGTCAATAGTTGAGTTGTTTCCGTAGATAAAATATCAGTGTCGAAGCAAGTAGGGAACTGACAACAAGTCATTGTTGATCCTGTGAGCCTTGTTTACTATGGCAGAAGTACATACAGTTGAGTTTTACAGTGGTATATTATTATCGATAGACAAGCACTTTATGTGGTAGCCAATGTTACATGCTAAATAAATGGCTCTGAGTGCAGTTGTACATCAGTTTTTGTGCCGGCTTTGAATAATATCTCTTGAAAAATAAACTTGGTTTCTTGAATATTTCATCTTTACAATGATTTGGTGAAGTTTCATGTAAATTTAGTCCTTGAATC